TTTGGTTGTCCTCACCCGTGTTCTCCTTCACTACACTACCAATCATAATTGTCACAATAAATTGCAAGTTTGATTGAAATTGTAGATGTGAATTACTTGATTCCAACTCAGTTTTCTCATGGTTAAACACTTACTAGGAAACCTAAATGTACTTACTAGGTTCAATCTCTTATCAGATTATGAGTGCACACTGCTAGATACTGTACTATTATAGTGACATGAAATACTTTTGGTTGATCGTTGCTCTTGATTTTCTTTCAATTGTAACTTGATGTCAAGGAGTCATAAAAATCATCTATCAAGGAAATTTATCTTAACAAACTTATTAATTTAATACATAATTTTCTTACTCTAATTTTTATCTATTGTCGTAATTATTAGTCGTTTAAATATAACTTAACTTCTCTTTCGGAAACAAAAGTAGGTTGTTGGATTTTGAAAACATAAACATTAGGAGTATGCGGATGCATCCAGCATATTTGTGTCAATTAGGACAAAACACTCATGCAAGATCCCATTAAAATAGAAACTGTCTGTAATATAATCAACTTCTAAATAAAAGCAATATATCAAAGTGTTCTGGTTCGAGAAACTAATATTCCAGTCGTAAATATATCTAGATGTAGTTATTGTGGTGCTGTTACCATAGTAACTTCACATCTCTAACTTGATTGTACGTTTATGAGAGTAATACACGCTTGAATTATTTCATGGAACCTATCTAACTAATACAAGCTATCTTGTCGATTCTCCGTACATTTTATTTCTCATAGTCTTCCATACAGGAGCCGATGGACTAATTTTGTTTGTCTGGATAGTTCTCCTTGTTTGCAAGAATCGTATATCATTTGAAGATGGATCATAGTGAACTTTAATGTGCATACCTTAACTAAGTATTTTAGGATCATACAATTGGTTCCCTTTATGAATTTAAATATTTTAGGATCTCTTGATGCTCATTACACCTACTATACTGGTTAAAACTAAAGAAAACAAACTATTATTAGTGTGACTTGGTGTTTCTGTAGTGTGATCTGGCTAGAGGTGGTCCGAAGTAGACCCTATTTGACATAGGTTTTGCGCTAGTTATCATCTGTTAACAAGGTGTAAACCGCAATCTTGAGATAACCACTACTTTCTGACGGATTCATATATCCAGAATTTAATCATCTAAGTTAATCACAATGATTGAAAAATAGCCTTCTGCTCTCATTATTATTACATCTGTGATTTGTATATATTACAATATCTATTACAGATGGTCTACTTCTGGTGATATTCATGATCCTATTCAAATATGTACACAAAGTTTTATATGTGCCCTTGTTTCAAATCTTTATAAAAATGGTAAGTTTATGTTTTACTAAGTTGTATTCGTTATTTCTAATAATCAGCCCGTTTTTATTTATTCCCACAAATATTCCAATTTAGTGTAAACCTCACCAGTAATCTCGTGAACTGTATGATTGATTTGTTCTGACTCAACTCATAATCTTCAACATAATAAGATAGATAAATGAAAGCACCAAGTTGTCTTGATTTTATAATACTTTCTAAACGTATCTAACCGTTATTGAGGATACTGTTTCCTACTTTTACTAGTCTGTGATTTGTTTTGAAATAATTTCATCTTGTATTAATGTAGTGCGTTATCTTGAACTGACGCGGATATTAATCAAGTTCTTTGTATTACATATATTTGACTATACACTTGGCTAACTAAGCTATTTAAGTGAGAAAAGTGTAATTGATAAAACTGAGTAATTAAGTACATCAATCATTAGTACATTTACATTTGTTTTTCCAAATACAAACAAGGACATGTAGGTTTAAGCCTATAAAAATAACAACATAATCGACTTCCTCCAATAGCGTGCCCCGTTTATTATTTTTCATTAACTTCTGCCCAACTTTGAGATGGCATGTGAGTGTATGCAAGGGATATGGGTAAATTCTCTCAACCTGTCACACATTACTATTTATTGCGAGCAATTTAGTAAACTAAACAGACTGAATAGTAACTTATTTATTTATTACAGCCCACCCACATTAACTTACATCATATTTGCAATACAACTCTAAAATACCGTGTAAATTGGCTGGTTTTGGTTGTGATCTTTTCATTGTATTATCTCTGAGTCACACCGAATCTATACATGGTTTATATTGCCCAAAAACTGAAATTAAAGCAATTGAAAGCGATCAAACCTGTTAGTATTGTGTCTGAAGATATAGCTATTTTGTCGAATTCTGCGTTGTTTTGTTAAATTCATCATCTTGTTGTCCACACGCTTTGAAATGTTCGAAACATTGTAAAAATTAATTATTTGACACTGAGTATCACGGAAAATGAGCGTAGTTAAGTTTCTTAAATCACTTTTAGACATGGTATTTCGGATGTAATTACGGCAACTATGCGTTTATGATCAACACATGATTGTTTTAATAAATAGAGATGCGACCTGTAAATAATTCGGTTTTATTTGATTCAATTATAGACTGATTACTGGTACATTAAAAGATTAAGTTACGAAACAAATATAATACATGCAATTTACAAGATTAATCATTGAACATACTTCACATGTATGTGATAGTTCAACACTAACCAAGGATATTTTATCATAATCTTCATTGTAATCTGTCAGTCAGTTGGTTATATGCAATATGAAACCTGGTACATGTGTATATCGGTTCACGTTGCCACACGTACATTTAAATGAGAGGTTTGTGGAAGTTCAAAGTCGATTTTTTTTATCCTATCTCTTGCACTTCGAGTTTTATAAAATGCTTAAGTTGAGATATTTACGAGGCCTAGTCAGCATGGACTTGTCAACTCTATGGGATGATAAAGTGGTTGCTTTATTGTTTTTCAGTTCGGAAATCCAGCCCCAAGGATGAAATACACTTATTTCCGCATTTGCTCAGTTGATATCGATAAATAATGGAAACAATTCTAATTATCATCTTCCTTTTAAAAGTGATTTTACTGACAAAACTGTCAAGTAATATGAACCACGGGTACACTAACCAATAATATACATACTCCTACTTAAACTTTAACTTCATCAAGTCACTAATCTGACTAGCCGTTTTTGTCATAATTTACTAGTTAAATAACTTTCAATCGAACACATCACCATGAAAGTTGATATGTACAATGAAACTGTCACAAGATCCGAATCGATGACACAACAGCACAACTTCACTATCCTCAATAATTATATATATATATATATATATATATATATATATATATATATATATATATATATATATATATTCGGCTTGTCCATGCGAACCAGTTGCTCAGCACACGAGTTTCTAGGCGCCAACTCCAACATTACTCGAACAATTTAGAATCATTTGAAGATGGATATTCCAAAAAAAGTACTTTCCTTATTTAGTTCTAGTCAGATCTCTAGATAATAAGGCATTGTCCTAAAATAGTTTGTTTAAAATTTGTATCCATATACGGGCAGTGTGTTTGTGTTTTCCTATCAAATTTTCAGGTGTGGATGTAATTTCCCTGTTACCAAGCCCAGAGCAATTGTTTGCTGCTGATGAATTAACAGACCTGGTCAAAGATCCACAATTTCATTATCTTATTGAATCTGGTTTTGAGCATATGCGAAATCTTTTAACAAAACAAAACTGTAATACACCGCAAGATGTTGTAATGACTGATATATGTGTATAGAATATTATCTTAATTATATATGTATTTATTTATGTATTCTAAGATAATTTGTTTGTATAAATAAGATTTATGTATAATAAACTTTTGTTTTTGTCTATATATTAATCCAATTAACGTGGCTATTTGTTTCCGATCACTATCTTGTTAAGTTCATCCATGCATGCTTAACTATCACCTACACAAATTTGTAGCGTCCACTGGTATGGAGCTAGGTTGGAAAAAGCCCAAGAACGGTCGTGTCGTGAAATGAGGTCAACTAATGCAGCCATTGACTGCTAATCTGAGCTATGTCAGTAGATGCAAACTCCCAGGCTCAAGGCTCCCGCAATACTCTTAATCAGGAGGACTGAGTGATGTAGTGCATCTCAACGACGTTCTTCAGCAGACTCTGAAGCTGTGTAATTGGAGTGTAGCTAAATGGATAAATGTCAAGGAAAATATAAGAGGGTACTATTTAGTTTAGGGTTGACTCCCGAGTTTGCCTTTTGAGGTGGTTCGCTAAACTATTTATGTATTAGGTGATTCTATCAGTCGTTTTTCCTTTCACTTGCAATTAATCTGGATAAATATTTAAGTCGATACGGTAATCAACCCAATTAAATCTGCTTAACTTTAGCTTGGAAATTTTTCCCTCACTGCTTTTCATCGTTTTTGGTCAGGACAGTGTGTTGGAAAAGTGACGAACTCATTTTATCGACCTAATGGAGAGTTGAATAGCACCGCTTCACACCAAGTTCAGCTAAGTTTCATACGCAAATTTGTACATACTTTACTGAGTTACAGTCAGTCTGTTGTGTTCTGCAGCTCGGTCCAGTTAAGATACACACTTTTAACTTCTACCAAACTCACTATGCAATTGGAGAGACTAGAACGAACGGGAAGACTTACTCGTCAGGCCGAATTGTACTGTACACAAAATACAGGTATATATCCATATATATATTTGTTCTTCTGATCCTGACAAGGATATGTCAGCTGAGACCTCAACTTATGGCATAATCTACTCCCTCCAACGAAGCTTTCCCCAACCGCGTGGCTGTTTAATTTCTACGACATCGTGTACTCTATTCAGACATTCCCAGCTTATCACTAACTCATCCTTATTCTCATGATCATTTTTTTTAAATATCCTCTACTAAACACAAACTAACTTGTGCTTGATTCAGATTTCCAGCTTCTGCTTACTAATGTGAGTAAGCTATGTGCGACAAATTAGTAACCTGGATGCAGTTCAAATCACTGAAGACTATAATAAAATAAGTCATTTTTGCTCTGTATACAATATAGAGAAAACTACATTACAATATCTAAAATATTATATTGAGAAAATCAATATAAATTTTGATAAAACAATTTAGTAGATATATAAAAGTGCTGCAGGAAGTTGGATCATAAGTGGACACAGTTTGAGAACTAACAACACAAACAGCGATACAACAAGAATGAACAGGCTTTTTTATTCATTCAACAGCTGTTTGTCAAGTTTTATTCAAGTTACATAAAAATATTTATATAGCAGAATATTATCTTAAATGTTGAATACATCTCTGTAGAATCTGTGGATTTTGTATAATGGGATCTAAAACATACACGAACAAAATAAAAAAATACGTTGAATAGATTTGCAAGAGCAATTCGAGTGTATTATTATACCAAACAACAGAATAGATTGTTTCGTGGAAGTTAATATTAGTGAATATTGTTATCAGTAGGGATGTTAATACTTACTAAAAATTGTCAGGTACACTCCTGCTCACTTACTACTAAATGACTCTATTTGTAATATGTACTTACCTGTTAGTACTTGCCTACAGGTTATATAACTGTTTTACTTGTTATTGTCTTTTTCTTTCTAACTTGTATTTTATATTTATGTCGATTTATTGTCATGAGTTATTGACATTTATTTAAGCTACGCACTATATTTTGCAAATGACAGTCTCACGGAGTCTAAACAATCTTATTCATTAAATGAAATATTCTCATTTTGTTTGTTGTACGACGGCTCGGCTTTTAAAATCCAGTTTGATTGTTCACCAGCCTTTGTAGATTATCTTAGAGTTTTGTCGCTCACTTAGTTGATCATTACCTGTACGAAAATCCCACAGTTGAAGGTGTTTATCATATTACTTCTTAGTTGCATTTATCTTAATAGTCGTAAATTTCTAGAAGCTTATGGGGTTCTCTTATTTATCCCTTAAATTTCAATTTAAACAAACATCCGCATAGTTTGTGTCGAATCTCAGAATGAACATCAATTCTGGGATGCAAGTACATCCAGCTGACAAGTCCAAAATGGAACGGAAAGCGCGTTCTCGGGTCTACTACTACTACTACTAGCCACCAGGCAACTCTGCTTAAAAAATGCTTGTAACCTAATGGAACTCTCGGGGCAATTCGCACAGGACGTGGATATGCTAAAAGTGACTGTTCGATTGTAGTCCGCAGCATCAACGGGAAAATTCAAACAACCAGTGCACATAAATATGTATTTCAGTATCGAGTCGTTTGTGCATCATACACTTACACTTGGTTTAAATATTTTCAAACCTATTTCAGTGAGGGCATTTGTTTAAACATCAGAACAAATTTTTTATGTGATTATTTAACATAGTCAAGTGAAGTATTTAAAACGGATAACATATTCAAATATGTATTCGTTTGTGAAAGCACATGACTTAAATTACAGGATATGCGTAGGCTACTAGTATTCGATCATAGATGGTACTTTAAAATTCATTTCCTCGTCTCAAATTATATTTTCAATGTTGAGTCTTTCTCAATATCATGGCTACTGTTACTACTACTCTTACCATTTCACCTACATTGCCAATGGAGAATCCTGATTGTTGGCCTACGCTCTACGAGATGTAACAGGCATAATTAATTAATTATATAAGTCACTGATCTTATTAATTTCACTTCACTATGCTATAATGTGACGATTCGGGCTGATGTACATTTTTCCCAAGTTCTACGTTGATTATGACCGTACATATAATAAATCTGTAACTGTAAAAAGTATTTGAAATGTGTTAATTACACTTCTTGTTTAAGCAGAAGAAAAAAATCATTGATTTGCACTATATCTTAAATGATAATCACTTTAAATACGCAAAACTATTAACGGTGGAAATATCCATATAAGCATTAGTTGACAAACTACGTTGATTTATCTACTGAACTCTTCTGATTGGTCGGTCTCAGTCATTTATTCTTATGCTTTCTTATTTATTTTATTTATAACATTCGTATTATTTCCAGGTTTCGTTAATTTTAATTTCACTGTACTTATATGAATTGTGAGAATGCGGGCCAATAGACATTTATGCATCATTATTTTAACCGTCTGTATAATATAACTGCCGAGAAATAGAATTAAAATTTAGTTAGTCACCAGGAACAAAGAATCTAGCACATATGTGTATTGGTTCAAGTTCCCATACAACATCAACACAAGGAGATGGAATTATCATAATAAACGTCAAAGTAGTAAAATAAATAACAGTATCATTGGTAGTAGAAGAAACTAGACCCAGACAATATGATTCAAGAAGGAAGAATCAATTCTTGAAATAAAAGTATATGACAACTAAAAAACGCAAGATCTAAAAGGAGACAAAAAGTGGATGCAACTTCATCATTACAAGCAATTCTGAGCCGTGCAACCTAACATCACTAGCCACTGATTACGATAATTGCACAGACTCCAACCAGATAGTCTGCACCTATCTACACGGCTCACCCAATAATTTTGTGAACTGATGATATGTTTTAGTCAGGTCGACCCTAGATTTCTTTCAAACCACCATTACATACACGTCATCACCGCACGTCGATGTAGGCAGTGGTTGGGCATACATAATACATGTCCTAACCATTTCAGTCGATGAAGATTAATTGCTATCCTTACCTAATACCCTATGTCTAACCTCATCATAGCTCAATCAGTAGTCCCAACATACACAAGCAATGCATTTGAAGGCATCTAAGATCAAATGCTAGTAGCTTACAAATATCCCTTATTTTTAAGGGTCAAGTTTCACAGTAGAACTAAAATGTAAACATTTGCTAGTCATTATCTTAATATGATACTGATAATTTGAAACATTACACAAATAACAATTTAAAACAAACCAATGAAAAAAAGGGACTTACAAAAACTGATCTGCTGTACATTATTGTATTTCATCCTATTCATAACTAAATCAATATAGATATATATATACAAGGAATTTTATGTTGAAATAGAATCATTGAACTGTTCGCTTAATCAAGAAAAATTCACTATTTATTATTTATTGAAATTATAGATGACTTTGGTAATACTGATTCTAATAGACTAGTTATTTGTTTAGCTGTTTCAAGTACAACTTGTTCCGAATATTGTGTTTGAAAATCTTTTAATTTTTCAATTGTATCTGTTACAGCTTTTTTATAATCTAAACAAATACTTGATTGATTTGTTGGTTCAGTAACTACTACTATCGGTGGCTTAGATAAATTTTGATTGTTACATTGAAGCCATCGTTTACTTCGATATAGTAAGTCTATAAAAATAATAGAGAAATAAAATTGAATTATTTTGTTTGTTTTGTTACAAAAAAAAGAAAAAATTATTTGTTTTTTTTCAAAATTTTACTTCAAAAACTTACTGAACATTAAAATAATGAATCTTTCAGAAGGGGTTTTTGTGGAGATTGCAGTAATTTCAATAGTTGAGATCATGAGTCAATTAAAGCTAGACCACCATGGAAAACCTGGAAGCACTGAACGGCCGTTTCGTTCTATTGTGGGACTCAGCAGTGTGCATCCACGACCCCGACTCAGTGGTCTAATGGTTAAGCGCCTGGTGCGAGACTGATAGGTCCTGGGTTCGAATCTCGCGAGGTAGGATCGTGGGTGCGCATTGCTGAGGATTCCCACAATAGAACGAAACGGCCGTTCAGTGCTTCCAGGTTTTCCATGGTGGTCTAGCTTTAAATTGACTCATGATCTCAACTATTGAAATGAATCTTTCACTTAATTTATGTAGAGTTTTGCTCAGATCGAGTTGTTTCATTTATTTATTTTATTGGAATACATAAATATTGGTACAAAGGGGCACCGAATAGATATGCGCCACATAAGTCACTTCATTTGTGTGTGAGCTGTAATACTGCCCGGGCACCCAGACCGAAGCAGGTAAGATCGAGTTGTATATTGTTGTTTTCTATCTGAATGAATGAATAAACAGATAAAAATGTTTTCATTCCCTTTAATAAGTTTTAAATTTTTGATTAACATTTTTCTAGTTGACTAGTACTGATTTAACGGTTTTTGTTTTTATGAATTGATAATGGGGGTATAATTTAGCACTAGTTGGATTAAATTTTTTTTATTTTTGAAAGGAAAACGATGTTAGAACACGACTATGTGTTGGATTTAGGTGCATAGCGAATTATCCTTGTTAGAATAATTACAATAATTAAAGTAATATCGTTTGAATTTGTATAGGTATGAGTTGTAACAATGAATAATTGTGTACACATTTTCCTGATTTATCTGGAAATTTTCTCTAAATGATAACTGCTGACAACTAAAGTTAGTAAATTTTCAAAGCCCGATATAAAAAGAAAATGAATATAACATAAAATAATTGAAAGGTAGCTACTCATAGAAAGAATTATCACATTACCTTTATGTAGGCCATGAACCATAAACACCTTTAATAAATGTTCACAAGGAAGAAACGACGATATATTGAATGAACAAGAACATGTAGCATTGTCACGATCAACTTCATATACAAATGAAGAATCTGCGCATAAAGCTAATTGTTCATTGGTGAAATCTATATTGACTTTATCAACTTTAGTTAAACGTTTGTAGACCATTTCTGCTGCATAATCAGTTAATTTTTCTAAAATATATTTAAATTTCTCTGATAAATTATTGTTATTATTTAGATTATTAGTAGAATGTCCAGGGAATGACAACGATGATGATGAGATGATACTGATACTAGGATAAACCCATTGCTTTCCAGCTTCATTATATATTATAGTCATAATTTCTTTAACAGAAGTAAGCTTTTTCAGTGATTCTTTAAAGCTGAAATTTACACCTTTAATGATTTCAGCAGTACTGGCGCCAAGAGTTACAGCATCCAGACAATATGAAGCTGCCCACATTTTCTTTGTAGGAATCCATGTATTCACCACGTAATTATATGCATTAATACTCGTATTTTTTAATCTCTCCAGGTAATAATCAAATCTATAATATGTATTTTTAATGTTCAATTGGAATTGAAGAAAAAACACTTACTGTAAAGGAGATACTGTAGTAATCATTGCGTGAAAAACTGCAACAGCTGTGAGACTATCGCACTAAAGTTGACAGTAATAAAAGAATATAACTTATACCTACTTTTCTTGTAAATGATTCTTTAATAATGAAAGGATTCAGTAAGATTCTGGCTTTCGGAAACATTTTTTGTACAACATCCAACTGAACTATAGCACAATCCATTATAAATGTGCGAGTGTCATCAACGCTGCTAACAATACCGCAAAAATGATTTAATAGAATTTTTATCTCTTCTTTTTGTTGGATAGTGCTTATTGAATACATAATTGGTCTAGGACAACCAAAACCGTCAGTCACAACAAATTGAAATAATGAAAATCTGTGCATAAATGTGAATATTATTTTAAAACATATGGTTATTTGAAACCAACCCCGTTGAATTCACATCGTAAGCAGCGTTTAAAAGTACTACTTCTGGATATTGACGATATACGTCAACTTGTTCGTAACGTGCTAATGTAATTTGTGTTACTTGATCCGAAGAATTTCTTTCAATTCCAACATATGAATTCCGATTGATAATCGATAGAACCTGGTCCAAAGTTTCACTACCTATCAACCAATTTCATATTACGCAGTAATAAACAATATCGTACTTTGAGCTATTTGGTCTCGAATACTTGATATAACTATTGGATGATTAAAACTTTGATTATTTCCTTGGCTTTTCTTTCCATTCGATGCATCCATATGTCTCCTTTTATTTTCTGGTGCTTTCTTCGCCCGATTATTTGAAGAGTGACTATGATTATGTTCCTGATTTATAAAGGTGACTACATAACAATTATCAACCCATCGAACTTGGAATGCTGCAGTACATCCTTCATTACTAAGAGATTTAGGGAATAAATAAACTAATAATGAAAACTTACACACCATTGGTATTGTTCATATTCGGAGAGTTTGATGGTCCAGTTGAATGAGAACATTTGTAATTAATGTACTTATATCGTGTCCCTTTATCAGTGTGCATTTTTTCGAAATCGCCCTTCACATAAGTAATACGCGTAACCTCTTGAGCATAAAATAGTGATTTTTCGAAATCAGCCCATTGATATAAAGGCCGTGACGTCATTACATTAAGAAATATCTTTTCAATATTTGCACTCATAGTTGTGACAAATTCAACGTTTTAAACTAATCGAAATGAAAGAACAGCACATAACAATTATGAACAGTCATGCAATTTAGGAAAATGGGATAATTGTCTTGATTCCCAGAATTAACGTATACATAAAACATTTGAGCATAGTATATAATGCAGGAATAACAAGCCAGAGCTTATAGGATATGTCCACAAAAATGTTATGAAAAAGGCTTGCTCATACACTTTTATGGACACTACTTGGATATCATTCAGATATATGCGACTTTCAATTCATAGAAGGTAAATCTTGAGGCTAACTGTAATTAAGTAATTATTTTCCTAAGAACAGCACAGCAGTATTTTACCAGTCCGTTAGTCATAAGCAACGTAAAACATGGGGCATATGTGAATCGGTTCAATTCGCCACATAATATTAGTACAAAAAGATGAAATTATGAAAGTGACTGCCTAAATATTAGCAGTTTTATCGGTGGTAGTAAAAAAGATTAGGTATGTAGAATATGATTCAATAAGAAAGAATTCATAAAATAAAATGTACAAAATAATTTTGAAACTAAAAATCAGGATAATATGTCTGGGTATTTTATAAGGTTATGAGAATTCAGTTGACTGGATGAATTAATGTCATCCATCTTCAACATAGTCGCCAGTTTTCAACAACGTGATAATATTCATTACATCGTCCTTAAAAGAAGTCCCACAGGATTTACTGGTTGGTGTAATTGAACCCTGCCTTTAAGTATATAAATATAGGAAGTGACAACACCACAAATGTGTGAAAAGAATCCACGCAAATGTTTGAAGACAGCTGTATTCAGAACAGCTCATTATTTGTTTATATCAATATGTTAGCAAAAAATGCAAGTAACAACAGGTATTCCGACTTTTGTCTGTCCTTATGAAGTCACGATGAGTACAGCATTTCAATAACTAGGATCTAAATGAGTGAGCTTCTGAAACTCCATAGAAACAGATTAATGGATCCTGTGACACCTGGTGGAATATTTAAGAAACATGGATACACAGTTCCATTCAAAACCAGATTTTTGTGTTAAATATTTTAACGTAGGTTTTCTTACCCACTAAACAAGTTAGTGACCAGTTGTTTTGTCCTTTGCTATTCATTTGGTGCAGACTCGTGCGCAGTCATATTAAGACGAAATTTCACACAAACATATAAGCATCCAAGCTCCATTCATGCCGCCAAGTGATCACTGTCCACATAAAATCTCTTATTTGTAACGGCGTGATGATGCAGAAAATCAGTTAGACAGCTAAAAAATGTTACCGTGTCTCTAAACTTGGGTACGTTGCTCGTAAATCCTGATTACCCACATCAAGAAAAGACATCACGAAGTATTAGAAGGGGAAAGTGGGCTAGCGATTACATAGCCTAATAACTATCTGCTTGAGCTCCATAAAACAATATCTATTTTAAAAAACGGAAGGGGGTTTTGTTGAATTTATCTGTTCCAATATACCGACGCTAGAAAAGGAAAGTCATGGTCATTGTGAATCACACAACTCTTGGGACGGTCTCTCTTTCTTACTGTTATAATATGAAGGCAGTATTGTCTGAAATATCTGTCTTTGGGGAGAATATTCTCCTACTACTGTTCTAGTGAATTTAATAATACGATATCATAGTTATGCATGAGTAAAATGACGATTTTTGGCTTCAGTGCTTTGTAATCAACTTTCTTAAATGATAAGCATCCAGAGAACAGTAATTCCACTGAATGTAGTTTGAGTCAGTCACTGAAATTGTAAACCTGATTATCAATTCAAGTTCACTGTTGTCATTCGGGTATTGTCGTTTTAATAAGAGCTATCTTCAAGAGCAAGTTATTCAGACCCTATAACTGAAGGGTTTCCTGTTTAAGAGCCTAGTTTTTAGTCCATCTGATATTCATCTTGATTGTTTTCTGGAAGTTAACCGAACTCTATTCATGCAGGCCTTCAAGTCACTGACTTTTTGATAACAGTAGATTCTCATTATTATTCAATTTCCACCCTGGAAAGTCTACTTCCAAACATTTTACCAACTTTTTCAATATTTTGGAACTATAATTCATCGATGTGCTTTAGATCCCAAGCTCCCAATTTTGGGAAAACTTTGGCCCATTTTGGGAAAGCCGCTATAGTAAATTTTGGGGAAATGGCGCAAAAACCCGAAATTTACTTAGACCTGGGGAAGTTTCCCCAATGTTGGGGGCTAGGGATGAGTGTACTAGTCAGTGTTAACGTTCGTGAATACTTCTTTTTGAATTGAGCCTAATCTGACTTCCATTCACTTAAGTAACTATTTAGCCCAAATGACCACGGTGGGATTTAGATAACAATTAAAATACAATTACAAAACTACTCGTGACGAGACTATGATTTAAGGACGACCTTTGAACGACGCCAAAGTGACCTTGAGAATGTCCAATTTGCTAGAGCTTAATGAAAGTTATAAACATGTGTGAAGAACAAAGATTATGATTTACAGTTGATGGTAAGGGTGAGGATTTAGATTTATATTTTTCATCACGAAATGACATCAGATAGAACCACGAAACTCGATTCAGCCAAATAGACGAATGGACTTCACGCTTAACTCCAGGACTTGTTATACTAAATCTGATTAGCTTGTCCGTAAATTATAGTCTCACTGTCAGTCTACTTAGCGACCAATCAGAATAAAATGGAGATTATCACTTCCGCCATATTTCCAAACAATAACGGTCAGTTTGCTTTGTTCGATGTGTTTTTACGTTTTTTTATTTACAGTCCGTATTAACTCTGGGGAAATTGTTTAATAGCAGTGATCTTAAAATATAGTTCGAGCTAGCCGTACAGTCTACAAACGCACGTCAAACATACTTATCACCTTTTTTCAAAACGAATACTATTTTAAAATGCATGACAACAGCAGCATCCAAAGTACTTTTTTCTACTTATTAGCACATCGATTTACATCGATATACTCATCAAGAGAAGGCTGATATGGGAGTCACTACAATTTCTCTATCGTTCAAGGTAAAGGCTACATTAAAACAATGCATCCACATCACTACTATCATACGTGGAATTTATAAACGAGTGATGTGTTTGGGCTAGTGGGAATATAACAAATATGGCAAATCAAGATCAAACCCCCCCTGTACTGTACAAGTTCTAAGCTCCCAACTTCACCTAGTTGCTCTGTAATGTATGCATAATCTTAAAATGACCGTTTCCTAGTCTTGACGGTTAAACACACTGTGGGAAGCGGAAGATTGGGCAGATCTACTTACTAATTTGGTTTGCATCACTACTTCCTTCGAGCACTATATTATATTTACTGAACTGAATTATAAGATACCAACGTATGCTAAACGAAACCGGGATCATAATTATTGTTTTACCTTCACAGACATGTTATTTAAATCAGCTGAATATAGAAAACTAAGCCTACAAACCCAAAAAACGAACTATATACCAGTAAAACCTAACAGAGGACAAACGATATTCTTTCCAGTTTGAAGACAACAGTAATTTATGCATCAAAACATAATTTACAGCAAAAAAACTTTTCTCCAGTAACGCTGTTTATTGGCGGTTTACTTAAAAAACGACTTTTATGAAGCTTCTTATGACTTGTTATATTTCCAGCATGTGGTGCATGTCCGGCGTAACGCAGTCTGATGTAGTGAATAAAAATTACGGCTACAGCAAATCTCATAACGCAGTCTAGTTTTTTAATGGAAATTGTATTATAATATAACGAATTTACTGACTACATAAACGTAAACATGACCATTACCCCGGTCTGCGATACACCAAGTTGAAGGGACAAGAGTGAGTATAATTCCTCACGTACTTGGGGCTTGGTAATTCGGTCTATGTGCCTCAAGTACTGTTATTAGCATCACTATTCATTTACTAAAAAATGGATGGATGGTTTGTATACCATAGACTAGGAGATTTTCCTCACAAAATAAAGATTTAGTGTCAGTGATGCTACTATCACTATCAACAGATACTTATGAGCGAAGTGAATGGCAGCAAAAGTTTTCGCGAGCATTTAGGACATTACAAAAACTAAGATATTCAGGTACATTGAGTCCCCGTACGCTGCTGTGACCACGCACAACAAAACATGCGGTCCAGCATGGCATACAGTAACCACCATCATTTTTATGAGCTTGTGTGTACCGATCGGTTTATTTGCGCTTGCCTCTTGTCGTTTGGTATGATTCCAAGTACTTATTGCTGTCTAGTGAGTGGTAGTCCAGACATTTTTGACTGAACCAGTTGTAGTTGATTTGATAGTTACTTGGGGATTCATATATATCATAGTTCGAGCAAGCGCCCTCATCTCCGAGCAGTAAGAATCCTGGATACCAAGAAGGAGGTTGGTTGGTCGCAATTTGAAAATAATTAAGTGAAAATTCGAGTCCCAGGAGAGGAAGATCATCTCAGAAAATGAATAACAATTTAGTTCTGTGGTAATCCAGGGTGTATGAGAAAATGATAGTGCAAGAATAAGATGGGAAACAGAAGCGATTATTACTTACTTACTTACTTACTTACTTACACCTGTTACTAGTAATGGAGTATAAGCCACCGACCAGCATTCTCCAACCCACTCTGTCCTGAGCCTTCTTTTCTAATTCCATACAATTCTTGTTCATTTTTCTCATGTCTATCTCCATTTCCCGGCGTAATGTGTTCTTTGGTCTTCCTCTTTTCCTTCGGCCTTGAGGATTCCATGTGAGGGCTTGTCTTGTGACGCAGTTGGGTGATTTTCTCAGAGTATTTCCAATCGACTTCCAGCGCATCTTCCTGATTTCTTCCTCCTCTGGGATCTGGTTCGTTTTCCCCACAGTAGGCTGTTGCTGATTGTCTCTGCCCAACGGATCTGAAATATTTTGCGTAGACTGTTATTAATAAACACTTTCATCTTCTGGATGATGACTTTCGTGGTTCTCCAGGTTTCCGCCCCATACAGTAGGACTGTAGTGGCATTGGACCATAACCACACAATCCTCAAAGCTGAACACGAGACAACTCGAAAAATAGATATTCATATATTTACCGAGGAGAAATACCTAACGATGGAGAAGGCTGGAAGAATGAGTTGAATTAATTGAAGTTGATCGAATGGTAAGGCTGGGCCATGCAGGCGTGGTCCCAGCTGAATCCTACCTTATATCTTTTATTCGTATTAAATATTTTGTTCTACCTGTAGCCTAACCTTGTTCTACACCATGTATTGGGGGTTGTTACAATACGATGAGCTGGTGTAGACGATGGTATGACTTCTACGTAAGATCTTATAGATTAGGCAGTTATATCATGACAAGTCTAGAATTTTAGGATTAGGTCCATTATTAGCGCAGTACCAGTATCATAGTAGACCATAATTCTACAGGACTGTCTTGACATTTGTATCGAAAATTCTGACTTTAGTGTTGGTTGACAATTGTTTTGAGTTCTAAATATTCTTCAATTGTAGACATACTGCTCTTGCTTTGCCGATCTGAGCCCTCACATTTGCATCAGATCCCCTGTGTTCATCAATGATGCAGCCCAGATATGAGAAAGTTTTGACATCCTCCAAAGATTCTCCGTCAAGTGTGATCCGATTGTTGCATGTTGTGTTGTACCGAAGAATCTTGCTTTCCCCTTTGTGTATGTTGAGACCTACTGCTGCTGAGGCTGCTGCTGTCCACTGTATTCCATGCTTGTTGACGTTTTCATAATCCATTCGATTACCAGGAGAAAGAGAAAAGGTGAGAGTAAGCAACACCAGCCCCTACTTCGAATGAGTTTGTTAACTACCCTCTGTAAGATCCATTTTGAGTGCTTTGTGTGTTTGTGAAAATCCCTCCATGTATTTACTTGCACTTTGTTCCTATTGATCCTCTTAGTTGTACACTGTTAGCTTTTTGACTACATTTGAATTGTTAATATTTGTATTTTATTATAGTTTTCGTTTTTACTACACCTTCACTAATTCCCAGTGTTTCTTCCCGAACTGCACTTATGTTGTTTTACTTTATGTTAAGTCTGGGTGGCAGCCATTTTGGTTTGCTCCTGCTTTTGATTGCTTGACCTGTGTTGACTGGAATTGTGCATTTTGGTTGTGAATTGAAGCACTCTCCCAGAATTGAAAACACTCTGTGTTATAGAGCTACCAATTATTACCTTTTGAACGAATCTGTACGTGATCTATCCAGACAGGATAGAATAACATTTATTTGTGGTGATTGGTAATTTTCTTGCATCCTTTATCAACTTTCTTATTCATTGTAGTTTAGATTTGATCAATTGAACAATTATTGGTTGGATAGCTGAGTGGTTATATTTGTTTAGGTAATAATGTGCACTTAAATTTGTGATAAATTATAGAACCGTCATTTTACCCAGTTACTTTTTTTGGTTTCAAACGGGCGAGGGCGTGTATCTAACTCATCCAGACAGTTGTCCATCAGTCCAAACCGTAGTTTGGATCTTAAACCTCCATGCACAGTTTTGCAGTTTAATCCATCATAGGAATTCCGTATGGTATTGACTATCTTCACAAGCATGCAGTAGTGTCGAAGAAGCTTCCATAGTGTTGTCCCATCTACGCTATCAAATACCTTCTCGTAGTCCATGAAGGTGATGTTGAGTGATGAATTCCATTCAATTGATTGTTTCACAATGATCTGTGGTGTTGCGATTTGGTCTGTACACGGTCGATCCTTATGAAATCCAGCCTGTTGGTCCCTAAGTTAAGCGTCTACAGAGTCCTTCATTCTGTTTAACGATACCCTGTTGAAGACTTTTCCTGGTATTGAGAGAAGAATGATGCCATTGTAGTTATCACACTTGCTGAGACAGGAATTAATTACTGAAATATGATAATGGTGAGCAAGGAGTTATAAGACATGAATTAGGCACAGCCGGTCCAATAAGGGAATGGTAATCTATGGGTGAATACAAGCTATGCACTGAGAGGGCTATTATCACTTCGGCTGGGAGAGCATTCTGAAGTGGGAAACTCGTAACGAGTAAACGCTGTGCCGTACATGGACGTTCGCTCTTTGTTGTGCGATTCACCGAGGGTTGCCTTGAGAGGCATTACGATGTTGTTCTGGCAATATGCTTGCGTTGGGGTGGCTTGGCGTGCCTAGTATATTGCAACCCACTATCACATCGCTACCGTTCTCCGATAGATCGGAGCCTATACTCTTAAGGCACTTAAGGGCACTTAAATGCCCGTCTTTGTACTTGATTTAAGAGACTTGTCATTTGGGACAGAGTTTGATTAGAATCCTAGTTGGCAACCCGTGTTCCTCTACCAGGATTAACAGGTGTAACTATGTAAGCAGATCATCCAGCTGTCAAATGCTATGGGTAGATTGAACGCTCAAGACGTGCCTTTTTCAAACTCATGTTGGACTT